TGAAAGCCTCTGACCATGGTATACTCGTGTACATAATCTTAACCTCCTCTACTCAGGCCATTGCAGGAAATCAGATTTTTCTACCCGAAACCCGTTCACGAATAACATTCGTGTCTCAACTGGAGGAGCAGTTTCCTACAAATCTACAAGCTGGTGTGAGCCTTTATACCTCTCTGCTTCAAAGCTTATCCGTGTGCAGCTAAGCTATTTTAAACCTTGCAAAAATCTAGTAATTTAGCCAGTCAATGCACAACAGTATCTGTTTAGGTGGTCACAGGTTCCCTCTGCTGCCTGCTCATGATTTCTCTCCTCGTTATTGAGTGCTCCTCACAACTTGCTTTCTAGGGAGCATATTCCCCTGAGTCACTTTCCCTCAGTGAAAGGACAGTCTAGCCATCTGATGACTGCAATGTCATGCCACAGCTGAACGTGGGCATCCCTACCAGGGGGGGCAGTGTGTGCCACAATATTTTGACACAAAGCCAATGAACCTGTTGGTCAAGTATTTTTGCAAGCCTCTTCTTAGGACAAATTTGAAAATGGAAGCTGAATCAGTGTCCCCTGTCCCAGTTTCTCTGTGACAGCCATTTTGTTTCTTGGAACCTTTTAAAAAAATAATAAGTAGACCATTTTTCTTAACTATAGTTGATTGCTTTCTATTTTTGAACCGTCCAGCTTTCAAGCTGCCTATCCAAATTCAGAAATTCACCATAATTCTCCCCTTTGGAGGTGGACCATAGGAGAGAGTGAATTTCCTGGTCCCCCTGGCGGAAGGCAGTGCTTAAAGAAGCCATCAGCCTTCGCTGGTCAAGCAATTACACAGGATCTTGCAACGAAACACACAGAACTCACAGGCTGGCCAGAATGGCATTCATGTGTTGCTTTGTCCCCCTCCCCTTTAAATAAATAAAAGAGAAACAGAAGATCACCCACAAACTGTTCTTTTTCCCATATATAACTACCCCTGTAATTACACTTCTTTCCCATGAAAACGTTGAACTGTTCCTTTTCCCATATATAATTACCCCTGTATTATAATTACACTTCTTTCCCATGAAAACGTCCAATGGAAAAAGTTCGGCTCGTTCCAGCCCCATACTGTACACCCCCCCCTTTTTTTTTTCCCTCCTGCAAAGGATTGCCCTTTCTTGCCCCTTAATGTCTCACTAACACAACCCTTTAACAACCTGTTTAATGTCTTGTTCAGGGAGCGCAGAGAGACACCGTCCTTAGTCATCTTCATGGAGCAGAAGCGAAGCTGGAACAGCCTTGTGCTCTCCGAAGCAACAGCGGGCAGGGGATCCGACTCCTGCTGGTTGTTTTGCACCGAGGCTTTTTATAGCCCATGTATCCAAATATAGTTCATAGATGTACGGACACATGTTCATGAACATGTTACATAGTGAATTATGGCTTTGGATACTTCCTCCAACCATGTAATCCCATCTGCCTTTATATATGAATTTTAAGGTGATATGAAAAGGGTCATCTACATTCTCTTTTTTTTTTTTTTTTTTCTCCTCTGTGTTTAGGCTTTATTTTGCCATAGTGCTTATCAGTTGTCATCTTGGGCCACAGCTTCCAATGCTACTGGCTAATTATTTGCAGGAGCTGGGTGCACAAAGGCCTGGATTTTTTTTTCCATTAAAAGGGAAAAAAAAAAAAAAGGCAGATAATGTGTGACTGAGAGTACCCTAAATCCTGAAGGCAGCGCACACACACAAAAAAGACAGTTAAACAGGTCTTTAGCCAGTACAATGCACTGGCTCCTTGCCTGTGAAAAGTTCAGGAAAGCCTAACAAAATAAACTTGTATTCTTTGAATTATCTGCCCACTGCATGGGAAATTTAGCATGAACTGAGCACAGCAGGATCCCAGGCATTCCCACTTAGTTATTGGCCTCCCAGCCTTTCACACACAAATGAAGGAACATTTCTAGCAATCCCCACAGGCCAAAATCTGCTTGTTGTATTCAGAACAGCTTTGTGAAACTATGCAAGTATTTGGGTAAGCAAGAGCATTTGGCCCTTTCCATTTACTTCCTAAAATGCACAGGCTGATAGTGCTAGAGTGTGAATGCAAGGGTGCAGTGAGAGATAAAGCATTTATTGAGACCAATGCAATAGTTGTTTTTCTCTCCTGGGGAAATATAGCACTTTTGAAAGCAAACTAAATGTGTAAGATGCCTGACCAAGTAAGCAGTTGTTAACATTTTTCTGTGGTTCCTTTGCTTACAGTGTGAAGAAATTACAGTTAACAGTGACTGTTATGGGAATGTGACTGCTCGTTAGAGAAGTTAATTGGCAAATGCTTTTCTAGTCTTCAATCCAGCCACTAATTAACGAAAAATATACGGTGTTCAATTTAAGCTAACTGTGACATGGTTCATCAGGGAAGGTAAAGCACTGAAATAGTTCAGACTCCCCGTAAAAACACAAGGAGCTCAGCCAGTCACCTCTTTATTACTGCTCAGCATCCAAAATTAGTATTGTGGGTTTCTGTTAGCGTGAAAGTCTTCCCTCCAGCCTTAACTACATCATGTCAGCTTTGAAATAATATTTCCTCAAATCTCTTGAAGCAAGTTTCACTTAAATTTAGGCAGTCAATTACCAATCCTACACAAAACAGTTGCAGTGAATATTAACAGTCACTGAAAAACAAACAAATAAATCAGTGCGAGGTCAGCTGCATCATGAGTATTTGCATGAAACGTCACAGCAAATCCTTTGCTGTGCCTGAGGTTGCAGGAGGTTTTGCTGTTCGGTTCCCCGTCAGCAAATTTAACTGGGCTCATTTCAAACACCCTGAGAAATGATTCCTCACCACAAATTTCTCTAAACATTTCAGCATCTAAGCATCTGGTAAGGGGTATACAGATATAGAACTGCTCTGATCAGCAACTAATACTCTCTTGGAGCCTTTGAGCTCTGCACACGAGAGCCAGTTCACCTTCTCTCCGTGTTCAATGGTTAGCTTTGGTAAAATCTCAGCATCTTCACTCAAAGCTGCTTTGTTCAGCTTTCCCTCTTTTTTGGTGGATGCCTGGGCCTTTCTCCTCTGGAGAGATCTAGCTGGGCTTTTCTGTTGTTTCCCAACACCGCTGCTGACATCCCAGAGCAAGACTTTGCCATCGTTTCCCCCAGTCAGCAGCCAATATGCAGCTGGCAAAAAAAGCACCTGTGAGACTCCCAAACTGTGGCCTTGAAACGCCAGCTCCTGCTCAAACTTCACGCCGGTGACCCGGAAGATCCTGACTTTACCATCTTGAGCTCCGCAGCCAAAAACGTTGCCACACGATGCCACGGACAGGGAATGTGCGAGCGGAGGGTTAAAGAACTGGCCAGCTGCCTGTGCACCAGCTTCCTCCATTTCACTGTCCTGCAAGTTGGTTGTCCACAGCGGGCGAGCTTTCTGCAGGTTCCACAGCATAACCTTAAAAAAAAAAATTAATAGTCGATTTTATTTCAATTTTATTTCAAAATTATTTACGTAAGGCCTCTGAGCCTTAGGTAAAATCAGATCCTTTCCCTGATGTTGAAAGATGTTGTGTTCATCTCGGCAGTAGAAACTGCACCACTTAAAAAAATGCAATTATTTACCAAAGAAAAAATAATGTTATTTACAATAATATGATTAGATTAGAATTTTTAGAACCAACAGATATAGAGGCATAAGTCAGTCTTTAATGCACTATTTATGTGTTCTTTGTGTTTTTCATGAGAGTTTTGATCTGTTGTTACTAAACATATTCTACTGCTCAACATCTGCACTAGAACTTTAGTACCAAAGACTTTAAATTTGGGGCCACAGAAAAAGTCATACTGACTCTGAATTTACAGCAGCCAAATCCCATAGAGACATCCAAATATTATCAGTTATTTGTTTGTACATTTCCATTTGAGCACTCGCTGTTGCAGCTCCATTAAAACTGCTCTGAAAACCTTCCATGATGACGGAGCAGAACAGAGTGAATCGGAGAGGCTGGGTCAAATGCTTAAATCAAATAGTCCAGTTATCTTTGACAGCACTGCAACGGCTTAGGAGAATTCGTCGGAATAAAGTGGTAAAGCACCTAATTGGTAACAAGCTTTCTGAAAACTAGGCATCTTCTGTTTTCATGGCACTTTTTCTGCTTCCGTGGCCCTTTTTCTGACAGTGACCCAAGTTTCTATCCTCTTGAACTAGCTGCTTCATCAAGAGTTCGATGTGCAAGCCCAGAAAAGGTTCTCATACTTATGAAGCTCATGACTTGTCTAAAGACATGCTGCAGCACAGCACTTAAGGTCTTACAGCTCAGCTTCTCCATGAAATGGTATATCCCAAAGACAGCCTTGATGTTTGTAAAAATGCTCTTTTCATTGTACAAAAACACTCATAAATATCTACTATTTTGGGGTATTGACTTTCACCTACAAAATATTTTGCTCAACTATGGCAAAACATGCTAAAAGTGTCAAAGAAAATCTTTTTTTTTTTTCCCCTCACAGAGAAATATTATAGAAATGGTTTAAATTCTGATCAAGTCTCTTGACATAGTCTTGCAAATTTACACTCAGACACACGAAAATACATAACCATTTTAAGGGGCCAAGCATTTACTGCTCTCAAACTGGTATTTGGGTGTCTCTAAAAAGTTTCACACAGTGCTTCATTTACAATTCTGTATTGATATTTTTGCCAACTGTGCTTGGAGATCTGTCAAAGTCAAAACTGGAGAAACTTGTATTAATCGGCCTCTACTTTACTCTTATCTACTTACTGAATTTATATAAACCCTGGTCTTAGTAGGGAAATTATCAGAATGTACTCCCCCTGATTGCTTTTAGCTTAGTCAAAGAAAAAAAAAATCCATCTTTAACCCCACTAAAGTCCTGGGAACCTTTGGAGAAGGGATCCTTCTAATCTCAGCTATTTTCCTTCTGTTGGACACCTAAAGAGGGATCTTTAAAACTGTTCTCAAGCAGAGGAGCTTGTTTACATCTTTGCTCTTTTCGTGGGACAGAAGGTGTTTTTTTTTGCAGCCATTAGTGGTCTCCAACGTACGAGGAGGGGAAAAGCAGCCCTCAAACACTTCCTCGCTCTAAAGCAGGCCCATGGTCCCATTTCAACATCTGCTTTGGGTGATACTGGGTGCCAGCTTTGGCAGTGTAACTCGGCCTTCCACTAACACCAGGACAATTCAGTGTTTCTGCTAAAAATGCTTCTGTTAGGGGCACACAAAAGGCAAAATTGCCACCTGAAGGAGGGAAGGAGAGGCACACGCAATGCTTTCAAGATGGTACCGTGAACAAAGGATAAAAAAATAAATTAAAAATAACTAATCCTTGCAGTGGTACATACCACTTGGATTTCTATCTATTTATCTAAAAGTATTCTTGCTAGTGCCTTGTCAAGCTTCAAGTTTTTTGTGTTTTCCTAACTTGTATCAAGATTTTTTTTGTAGCCATAATTTAGACACGCTCATAGAGGTGTCTACACCTGGGGTTTCTGCTTTGTGAAACAGGGCTGGTGCAGCCACCGTGTTCTCTGCGTTGCTCCCCGTCACATCTGTAACTATTAATGAAAACAAAGCCAGCGAGAATAACTGCTGAGCAAAAAGCAGCGTTACCAGGCTTAATTCTGTGCTAGCTTCTCTGCCGAAACTGCTTTAGGAAAGGTAAAGAGCTTTCCAGCAAATCACCTGCATGTCCAGCCCGCAGGAAAGAAGGCTCTGCGGCCTTTGCGGCCGGAAGGCAACAGAGGAGCAGATGTTTGAGTGCCTCAAGGTCCGGCTCACTTTCTTGTTTCCCAAGTCTATAATCCTTATCGCCCCCGCGTCGTCCGCCGCGGCCAGGGCGCTCTCAGGCTCGTTGACGGCGAGGCAGTTGATCTCCTCCTCGTTCACCTGGAAGCGGTGGGCAGGCTCCTTCAGCGCGCGCGCGTCCAGCAGGCTGACGCTTGCTCCGTGGGAGGCGAACAGCCTGGCGGGGCAGGCTGGGGAGAACACCACGGCGGCCACGTCCCCGGCCCCGGGGAGCTGCAGCCGCCCGGCCAGCTCGCCCCTCGCGTCCCACACGGCCAGCTCGCCGCCTTCCGCCCCGGAGGCCACCAGCCCCTCCGCGCC